GGGGACGTGGTCAGGCTGGAGGGTGGGGTAGCCCAGAGCCCTCACTGAGTCCATTCGTTCCTGCGACGTTTCATCCTTAGAATTACGTCTCCGCTTCCAGGGACCTCACGGATAAGACAGGCACTTTTTACACCAGCTTGACTCTCCTTTCAGGGCAGGTGTCACGTCCAAGAAAGATCACAGATGGGATCCACGTTAATGCTGCAGAATGCCACGAAAATCTAAACCTGGAACATCAAGAAGGAAACACGCATTTGTCAAAAAGCGCTTTTCAAAGATGTAAGAAAACCCTTGATGTTAACTCAGTCCCTTCTGTGAGTTTGTGTGTCCCCTGGATTTACTCTGTGTTCTGGATGTTCCAGGACGAGCTTCCAGAGGAGAAAAAGCCTAGAAATACCCAGACATCAAGCTGAGTTATTATGAATTTTACAACACATTCTCCCCTCAAACATCTATTAAACATCTACACATGCCAGGCCCTGAGCCAGACGCTGGGCTGTGGATGTGAAGCACACACACTCCCTGGCCCCTTCCAGCAGGACAAACAGACAGATATAAAAAAGAACAGTTACACGACAGCGGTGGAGGCTCTCCAATGGCATTCAGGGTTTCTTGCGGACATGACTAGGCGCTGGGAGACGTGAGTGAGGAAAAGCTTCAGAGAGAAGCATGAGCCCGTTGCTGTCAAAAGGGATAAAACTTTGGGGTCATATAAACCTGAGTTGCAATAGCAACTTCCAGGACTGGGTGACCTGGGGGCAAACGACTTAAACTCTCCCAGCCTGGATTTCTCCACCTGTAATAGAGAGAAGAGAACAGTATCTACCTCACAAGACTATCGGAAGAATGAAATAAGCAATGCATGCAGAGTGTTTAAGATGGTGCCTGACACATGGTCAGTGCTCAGTAAATGGAATGATTGCTACGGTGACTCCCGAAAAATGACTAAACGTTCACCATGGGGCTGTAGACATGGGGGGATGGGTGGGTAAGGGAGTCGTGTGTGGTCTAGAAAGACTCAGAAGCCTGGTGCCCTTGGAGAATTGTGAATTGGTGAAGGGGCCCTGCCTCCTGGACCCCACCTCACCACTGCCCACCAGGTTTCTGTTTGTTCATTCCTCACCCCCCAAAGTCCATGGTACGTCGCCCACCATATTGACTTCCAACCTAAGAAAACCTCGTCCCGGCTCTGGAGTTAGTTTCCCCATTTGAAGGAAAGCCCCTCTGGGCAGGGACAGTCTCCTGGACCCCATTTGCCCTGTCTTCCCAGAAAACTGGGCCATACATCTCACGGAACAACCAGATTTAAGTCTAAACTGGTTCTGCTCCAGCTAAATTGGTGCACGTACCCATTAAGTCCCCACCTCACAGCCTCGCCTTCCTGTCTGTTCAGGGAGCAGGTGGCCTGGAAGTCACGTAATGTGATCGAACAAGTGATGTCCAAAGAATGTGACCGGATCAGTAAAGGGAACCTTGGGAGAAGCAGGGGGCAGGGCGTCCCTCCTGCGCTGAGAAAACTCCCCCTTCGTGAATGAGAGGCTGTTTAGCTGGTGAATGACTTCCCTGAAGAAATTCTTCTGTGGCATATCACCATCACCAGCTGGTGTTTCTTGGCCTCTGAAGCAAGATAATAACCATGTGGAAATGGCTTCCACCATCTTGTAGGAACAGGGCGCGACTTGTTACCTCCACACGCCCACATGGCCTCCACCCCTGCGGCCCTCCATCCCAAGCATCTGGGGGGCAGCTCACTCCCGGGGCAGTTTCTTTAGCTTTACATCAGACAGAGAGGTTGGTGGCATGAGCCAGCCCCAAGACAAATGGCCACCAGCTGCCCACCAGCTCCCCCAAACACCACACCCCTCCTTCCCCTGCACAAACCCCTCCCACCCTCAGCTCCACCCCGGTGCATTTGGACACATTTGAAAAATCTTCTTAATAAATTACCACCCCTACATGACCTGACAACAGCCACAGATAATCCAGGGCTATTAGAAGCCTCGTTTATAACCCATCTAATTCCAGGTTGTGCAAATCCCAGCAAGTTAGGAAAGGTGTCAACCTTCCCTTGGTGAATGGCATAGCTTGTATTCACAGATTATATGTAATTGATCCAAAGACGTTACAGACATTTAAAAAACATGTCTCCTCCCTCCCAACGTCTCCCTCTGGGAATTCACCTGTAAGAAAACTACAGTGAACCGTGGGCAAAATAAATTACCACAGGTCTGTTCTTTGCAGCGTTGTTTATAAAAAAAAAACTTTAGAAACAACCTGCACAGAAATAGGGGATTAGCTAAACAAACCTTGGAACATGCCGACAATGAGATACTCCGCAGCTGCACAAAATAGTACTGCAAAAGACAGCACAGTGATCTGGGGAAGATATTAATTATCTGTTGTTAAATAAGGGAGCAAAAGCAAGTTACAGAGCAATAGCTACAGTTAATTCCATTAAAATATTTTATATTCGTGCATTTACTTGAATAGTGTTTGAGAGATGGGTGTGCTTTGCAGGCAGACAGACAGGTTTGGGGTTTGAATCTTACAAGCTATGCCACCTCGGGCAAGTTATATAACTTTTCTCTAAGCCTCAGCTCTTTCATCTGTAAAATGCAGAAAATTCTTACTTCACAGAGCCGTTGTGACGATCAAATAAGACTACCTATGTAAGGTGTTCAGCTCCATATCTGATACAAAATAAATGTCCTGTAATTGTTGATTCTTGCTATCATTATTGTTATGTAAAAAAGGTTAATGCTGGGTGGCAGAATTATAGGTACTTTTCTCTTTTTAAATTTTGGTTGTTTTCTGCTTATCCATCTCCCAGAAGATATGACTCTAGCAATGACCAAAAAAATTGTTTTAACTGTTAAAGTTGTTGGGGGACGGGTTATTTTTGCTTTTAAAGAGGGAAACTGGGACTAATGAAAGGCGAAGCGGGTTTGTGACCTCAGCAGGTGAGGACCTCAGCGCAAAAGAGCAGTGGGGCTCACAGGGACCCATATCCAAATCAGGGGTCTGGAGGAAGCTGGGGAGAGATGGTCCCGGACATTTGGAAACAAGGTGTGAGTGCCTGGTGCCCCCGCCTCCCTTTTCCCTCACCCATCTCATCTCCCACAGGAGTTTAGGTGGCCGAAGGGCTTGCGCCCTGCGTGGGGTGAGAAGGGGATGGAGTGGGTTATTAATAAAGGAGATGAAGGAGAAGCTGAACTGGGGGGGGCGGGCGGGGGGCTGGGGCGTGTCCCCAGTGAAAGGGGTCTGTGGGTGGCTTAGAGCTAGTGGAGGTCAGTGCGTTTCAGAAAACCCAGATTTGATGGTCATTGCCTTGTCCAAAGGACCTGGAAGGTCAGAGACATAGGCTTAAAGCTCTGCAGGTCTGGACTACTTGCTATAGTGTCCAAACACTCCCCGCCTGGGCTGCCATTTTCCAGTCCGCAGGCATCCTGGGCACTTTGGAGCCCCTTTAGTGAGACCTGGTCTTCCAGGTCACGAAAGGTGTGGCAGCAGTGGCTGGAGGCAGGGGAAGGGCTGGCAGGTCACTAAATCTGAAACAAGCCTCTACCCAGAGCAGAGTGGAGTCCAATGACAGGGACAGACGGCAGGGACCAAAAGCTGGGGTCAGACCCAGACCTGTGTTGGTGGTGGGAGCCGGGCTTGGTTGTCAGGCAGAGAAACGCAGAACACAGGGAAAGCCCTGGGGAGGGTGGAGCCACCTTCCTGGGGCTCTGGAGGAAGGCTAAGGCAGGAGAGGATGCTGAGAAGAGGATGCCCCCTTCAGGGTGACCACGGTGAGGCCCACCTTCCCAAGCCTGGCCTGGGTCTCTTCACTCCCCAAGGCAGGAACTCAGTAGCAGCAGAAACGAGACCCAGGAGTTTTCTACCTGAAACTCTGGCAGCTCTGCTCGGCCCTCCCACACCACCTGCCATCTCAGGGAGAGCAACACGGTGCCGGAAACGCAGGACCGAAAGATAATCCCGGTTTCTCTCATCGAAGCGCCTTTAGAGTCTGTCCTTTCCCCCGACTCAGGAACAAGGGAAGGCAGATTCAGGTGGGGGAGTTCCCGCCAGCCTCAGAGTCCCCAGCTCTGGTGGGGTGAGGGAGGACTGGGGATGGGGAGAGGCACGCCTGCCCACACTCAAGAACAGGCAACGCTGGTTACGGCTGGTCAGCGTTACAAAGCCATTTCTCAGGAATGTGGACCACTCAGACCCCTAAAACCATCTCCCTCCAGGCCGCTGCTTAAAAATAAATTATAAGATACCACTTCACACCCCCAAGAATGGCTATAATCAAAAAATGGAAAATAATATGTGTTGCTGAGAAACTGGCACCATCCTACGCTGCTGGTGGGAACACGAAATGAAACACAAAATCATCATATAACCCAGAAATTCCACTCCTACGTAAATGTACGAAAGAATTGAAAGCAGGGAACTCAAACAAACACAGGTACCTATGTGATCACACAGCATTATTCAACATTTAACAGATGTTAAAACAACCCAAATGTCCATCAATGGATGAATAGTATTTTTTTTAATGTGGTCTTTACATGGAATATTATTCAGTCGTGAGAAGGGATGAAGTGCTGACACATGCTACAGCATAGATAAATCTCGAAAAATCATGCTAAGCGAAAGAAACTAGACACCACAGGTCACATATTGTATGATGACACTTATATGAAATATCTAGAATAGGCAAATCCATGGGGACAGGAAGCACATTAGTGGTTGCCAGGGACTGGGCCAGGGTGGGGACTTGGGAGTGACTGCTTCATGGATATGGGGTGATAAAAATATTTGGGGACTAAACAGAGGTGATGGTTACACAGTATTTCAATGTGCTAAATGACACTGAAATTTAAGTATAAAATTGACATAATTTTCTTATGTAAATTTCACCTCCATAAAAATAAACAAATCATAGCTGGAAACTTCTTCATGCTGGACCCTGTGTTTCACCCACATGATCTCATTTCATCCTCAGAACAGGCCCAGGAAACAGAGATTTATTGTCCCATTTTACTGATAAGAAAACTGAGGCTCTGAGAGGTGATATCATTTGCCCAAGGCCTCATAGATCGCGCTCTGCTCATGGCAGAGCAGAGAACTTGCTCACTGCATGGACGCTGTCTCAGATTGCCCAGAAACTCTTCAGAGTTGAGTAAGATGGCTCAGCAGGGTGCTGGGAACAGGCATCCTGACCTGGGTAGTGAGGGATCAACAGGTCTCAGGGATTCCGTGCAGCATTGGGTGCTGGGATACTGAGAACGACAGCAGGGAGCTGTTATGGCGAGGGACGCCTGAGGTGGAGCATAGGCTATATGAGAATTGTGGGGGGCTGGGGCAGAGGCTGGGGAGATCAAGAACCCGCCCTCAGGGAACCAAATACCTTGGGTGGCTAACTGTCCTTGATCCTTCAGACCAACTCTGCCTTCGCTCTGCAACACTTGTGATGAAAACCTAACTCAGAACAGAGGCAAAAGAAAAGGAAATCATGCCACGGAGCGGCTGGGCCCGTGAGCCATGGCCGCTGAGTCTGCGCGTCCGGAGCCTGTGCTTCGCAACGGGAGAGGCCGCAACAGTGAGAGGCCCGCGTACCAAACAAACAAAAAAAAAAAAAAAAAGAAAAAGAAAAGGATATCAAAAGAGCACTGGCTTTGATGTTACAGCCACTGAGTGCCCTGGGTCTTTGAAAGGTGGATCTTCTCTTTCTCCTTCTCGTCTTCCTCCTCCTTCTTGGCGATCAGACCTAAGATTTATTGAGCACCTACTATGTGTCACGCCCTGTCCCAAACACTCAAGCTTGGATCTCAACCCTTTGATGCAGGATGGTAGCCACAGTGGTTGACTTGGCATCATCCAAACGTCCCTGCCAACCCCCAGCCCAGCCCACCTGAGCCCTGCTGTGTTTAATCTAAACTAGGCTTGGCCATCCCATCCCCCACGCTATCTCTAGAATCACGAATAAGCATGGGACCTGATTTCAGCCAATGAGGCATGGAGGGAAGCCTGGGTCTTCTGAGAAAGGTTTCCTTGCTCTAGGACGACATGGTCCCTCCTCTTCCCCTGGACATTGTCACATCCGGATGTGATGCCAGAAGCTGCCTCAGTCCTTCCTCCTCCAGCCAGAGGATGAAGTTGATCTGGAGAGGGCAGAACAGAGAGACGGAAAGACAGCACTGAGCCACAGATGACACTAGGCTGGCACCCGCAGTTATGTGAAAGAATACATTTCCCGATTGTTTAAGCTGGTGTTTGCTCTTACTTGTGGCCAAAAGAATCCTTGCTGACAGATACATAATACAAATGAGAACTCTGAGGCTTACAGAGGTTAAGTAACCGGGCCAAGATCCCACAGGTGGTGGACTGGGATTCGAGCCCAGCCCATCTCGCCCCAGAGCTCCACCCTTCACCACTGGGAGGTGATACATACCTCTTTGAATTGTTGCCACTGCAAATAAAGCGTCTGGCACAAATGAGGGTAAAGACATCTACTGCGCAGAAAAGGATAAAAATATCTCCCCCACAAGAGACACAAAGGGTCCAGTATCAGGCCTAGAGCAGAGGGCTGCTCCAGAAACATGAAATCCAAACCCCGTTTTTCAGCCCTGACTCGGTGTCCATTTATTCCCAAAGGCTCAGCAGCCAGACTGCTAACTTAGGTCCCTCCAAGAAGAGCACTGGTCTCCAAACTCTGGCCCCAGCCCTCCTGGGGCTGGCAGCCGTCCTAGACGTACCCTGTGCGTGCCCTAGCCCCACTCCCGTCCTACACGTGCTTCAGCGAGCTTGCCATGATCTAGTGCTGTTATCCACACAGCAGCCAGAGGGATCTTGAAAGAATCAGATCAAAGTCACATCACTCCCCTGCCTAAAACCCCCTCACTTCCTTCCACTGGAGATGGAATAAAACCCAAACTCACAAGCGTGACCCACCAGGCCATATATGTCCAGCCCCTGCCCTGCTCCCAACCTCAGCTGGTACTAAGCTTCTCCTCTCCACTGTGTTCTCACTGGCCTTTTAGTTCCTCAAACCTGAAATGGTCATTCCTAGCCCAGGGCCTTTGTCCTTGCTGGTCCTTTAGAAGGAACACACTCTTCCCCCAAGGTCTTGCCATCTCAGCATCACCTCATCTCAACGGTCAGGGCTCTGGAGAGACCTTCCTGAGCCCACCCCGTCTCCATCTCTATCATGCCACCCAATTTTATTTCTCTGTGTATCTCATAGGCTGCTCTGATTCGGTTTCTTGTTTGTATAACTTTATTTCATTAGTCTCCATCATCCTCCTAGACTGTAACTCAGTCAGAAACAGGGAGATGTCAGTTTGATCCACTGCTAAGTCCTCAGCACCTAGAAGAGTGCATAGTACACAGCAGGTGCTCAATAAACACTCACGGAAGGAATAAAACTCTGTCTCCACATGCAGTGTTGCTGTCTTAGTAAGAGAAGCGATGCTCCTTGATGGGAGTGTTTATTATACTTGCTCTTATCTTGACATTTCAAGAATCTTGTAGTTGTTAGAATATACTTTTCTCAGATTCACAGTGAAAGGCACAGACTTTGAGTTCTCACCTCAGCTCTGCCAGTTTCTCACAATGTGACCTTGAACAAGTCACTTAACTTCTGTGTGCCTCCGTAGCCCTGACTGTCAAACTGGGATGATTATTCTCACGGTGTTGTAGCGTTGAGCATAGCATCTGGTACACAGAATGCTCGATATAAAGGCGCTGACATTGTTTGCTTGTTAGAATGTAAAAGAAAGAAAGAAAAAGAGAGAGAGAGAGAGGGGGGAAAGAAGGAGGGAAGGAAGGAAGGAGGGAAGGAAGGAAGAAAAGAAGGAAGGGAGGAAGGGAGGAAGGGGAGAAGGAAAAGCTGCATCTGATCTTAGCTGCAGGTTCTGTGACAGGCAGCCTGCCTATGAGTAGACACCAGCCCAAGCCTTTCCTGTGGGTTCCCTGATAGGGTCAGGCTGTGCTGGTGCCCAGAACACAACCCTCCCCGCAGGCTTAATCTGGGGAGTGAGTTTTGGGGCACTAGGGGGAGCGGGCAGGAAATCCACCCTCAGTCCCCAAGCTCTTAGCAGTAACGGCCTCTGCTAGGGAAAAGCTTCATGCCAGGATGAGCTGGGTCTTAATAGCTGCTAATTGGTCATAAGGCAAATGGGGGGAAGATATTAAAGAGCAATCCATTTGGCTCCGAGTGAAGGAATTATAACCTAGAAGGATTTTATTGGTCTGTCTCTGCTTTTTAAGAGTTTTTATCTCAGGAGTGGCTTGGTCCTAAAATGGTCCACTGTGACCGGGGCTGTGTGATAACGGGGGAAAGATCTGAGGATTACAGGACTCGAGCACCTGCAGCCCACCCGGCCCATCTTCCTGTCGTCCTGCTGAGCATAGGGTCCTCCAAGGCCTAAGTCCACCCCACCCACCCATAGCAACTCAGGCCTTTCTTCTCGCCCACCTCCCCAACCCCTCCAGGAGGCATCGTCCCCGCTCTAACAGAGAATCCACCGTCGTTTACAGCTAGGGCCTTATCCTGAAGAGTCAGAAAATGAAACGCTCTCTTTCACCAAGAATTAGCACATCTAGCGCGCATGGGTTACCAACTTTCTTTTTTTCTTCCTTTTAAAAATGGTTCTTAGAGCAATATATACTAATTAAAAATTCAACAGAAATATATAAAGTAGAAAATGAAATGAAATACACTCTCCCCCCCTATTCTTACTCTTCAGAAATAACCACCATTGACATTTTGATACAGAGCCCTCCAGATGGATGGATGGATAAATCTTACTTTGATATTAAGTATTTCAGAGATGAATGTAATGAATATCCAAGAACGCACCATCCATCTTAAGAAATAAAACATTACAGACAAAATTGAAAGCCCTTGTGTCTCTTATATCATTCCCTTCCCCCCTCCCCCAGGTAACCTTTGTCTGGAAATTATTATCATTTTGATACCCCTATTATACTTCCATTACATGTACTTGTAGTCATAAAACAACGTATAACATTGTTTTATTCAGTGCTACTCGTTATAGAAACAGTATCATAGGATATGCAATCTTCTGCAACTTGCTTTTTCCCCTTCTGCATTGTTTGCAGATTCTGCATATAGTTACATTGTGACGCTGTTTTATTCTTTTTTAACGCAGTATCATATTAGTTACATTGTGACACTGTGTTATTCTTTTGTAATGCAATATCATATTTTATGGTGTCATTGTACCACAATTTATTTATACATTCTCCTGTAGAGAAATACTGGTGTTGTTTCTAATTTTTCCCTTTAGAAACAATGCTGCAGTGAACATTTTTGCAACCATCTCCTTGTGTACATGGGCATAATTTTCTCCGGTATAGAGCTAGTTGGAATATCTGTGTATATATGAGTAGCTTCCTCTTTACTGAATATTCACAAATGGCTCATCAAAATGGCTGCCATAGGGCTTCCCTGGTGGTGCAGTGGTTGAGAATCTGCCTGCTAATTCAGGGCATACGGGTTCGAGCCCTGGTCTGGGAGGATCCCACATGCCGCGGAGCAGCTAGGCCCGTGAGCCACAACTACTGAGCCTGCGCGCATCTGGAGCCTGTGCTCCGCCACAAGAGAGGCCGCGATAGTGAGAGGCCCGCGCACCACGATGAAGAGTGGCCCCCCACTTGCCACAACTAGAGAAAGCCCTCGCACAGAAACAAAGACTCAACACAGCAAAAATAAATTAATTAATTAATAAACTCCTACCCCCAACATCTTCTAAAAAAAAAAAAAAAAGATGGCTGCCATAATTTGTATTCCTGCCATCGAATATTAATTAGTAGAATCACTTCAGAGAACAATTTAGCAATAACCTCTGCTGTATGAAAGTTTGTGTTGTTCCACATTCTCCACCGTCAACATGCTGTTGCCAACACCAAACATTTTCTAATTGACTGGGTGTGAACTGATATTTCATGGTTGTATTCATTGCATTTCCATGATTACTAATGAAATTGAGAATCTTTCATATGTTTACTGACCTTTCCTGTTTCCTCTTCTGTGAGTTGCCTTTTCATACTCTTTGCCCAATTTCAATGGATAGATAGATAGATGGACGATAGGTAGAGAGAGATTTTAAAACAATTTTCAAAACAGCCCACCATAAAACATTTCCTGACATATAAGAAACATGTATAATCCGTATTCTGTGTAATATTCTGCAACATACCTTCTATACTCTTACTACAATTTGTACATCTTACCAGGCTAGTACTTTTTCATGTTATTTTGCAATGGCATAATATGGGAACACTATGATTTATGAATCATTCCTCTATTGACAGACATTTAGATTATTTTTATTTATTTCCAGTATAAATAGTGAATATTTTTGTAGCAATATATTTAGGTATAATCACAGCTGTTTCTATGGAAGATTGTCAATTCCCCGTGAATCATAAGTAGTGATATATAAGAAAGAGGAAATTAGAATTCAATAAAAATTCAATGAAATAAATTCAGCCTTAAATCTCTTCTAAACTTAATTCCTCCTCTTAAAAAAAAAAAAGTTTAACAATTCAAAAAGTAAGCTGTGAGTAACTACTTTGGAAACGTTTGGCAATATCTACCAAAGTAAACGGGCACCTGGCTATGACTCAGCAATTCTATTCCTGGGTATTCACCCAACAAAAATAAGTTAATATATCCATGAAAAGACATGTATAAGGAGGTACACAGCAACTTCCTTCGTAAGTAACTTAAAATTGGATATGGCCCAAGTGTGTATTACCAGTGGATATGTACAATAACATGGATGGATCTGAAGACATCATCGTGAACTGAAAAGGCCAGACACAAAAGAGTATATACTCTATCACCTCGTTTATATGAAGTTCAGGAACAGGCAAAACTAATCTATGGTATTAGAAATCAGGATATGTTTATTTCTAGGGGTGAGAGTGTTGACAGGTGAGAGGCACAATGGGGCCCTCAGAGGTATCAGACGTGTTCTCTATCTTGATCTGAGTCAAGAATATATTTGTAAAAATTCATTGAGTTTCACCTTTAAGAGGTGTATACTTTAGGATGGACCTAGAGAGTATTGTGCTTAGTGAAATAAGTCAGAGAAAGACAAATACTCTGTTATCACTTATATGTGGAATCTAAAAAATAAAACAAATGAAAGGATATAAGAAAACAGAAGCAGAC